CACTGCCACTGCATCATTTTCTATCTTCTAGCTCCGCATCAAAATTAGATACCGCAGTCCCACAGGGAGCTGCAAGTTCCTCATTTGGTGGCCCTCCAATTGCGTGTACGATTAGCGCGCCGCACCCTGCATTTCTTTCTCTCGTGTTGGCCGATCCATCCTTGAAAACTTTCACTGGGGTTTCCACAAACCTTTCCATGGTCTCAAGGACAGCCGCTTTCTGAATATGTGCAGGGCTGCGTTTCGTCACTACTGCATCGGTCAAGGCCAAACCTATATTGGCACGTGTAGGTTCCGCATAGGGAGGATTGACTTGGGATATACGTCAGACGTTCTCTCTTTCGGGTGAGGTCGACTGTCCTTTCAAGTTCTGCTTTTTGCTGCACGACGAACGATCTCTTTAGTTGCCTCCCCCGCCATCCAGTTGTTTTGCACTTTAAAAGACGGTTGATTTCTATCTAACCGCCTGTACCGCTCTATACTGTAGTTAGTATCGCCTTGTCCCTTCTTACGTCTAGCAGCTCTACGTCGGCTGTGACTTCCATAGCAGCTGTGGGTGTGGTATTAAATGCACCACAGAGGAATCTCAGGGCCTTATTCTGGATGCGGCCCAATGTTTCCAATGCAGCCTTGATTGGAAAGTTTTGGGCGGGCATGCTGTAATCCATCACCGATGGGGGACATTATACTTTTTGCTTACGCAATATATGAATTTATCGATACATTCAGTTTTCAATTTTCTTCATTGGGTTGAGCACATTTCTCGTTTTCTATAGATGATTCTGGAATCCTGACTCGGACCCACTGGTTATTCTCAAAATACCCTTACCCCGTACCCGGACAAAAAGCTCCAATTGGCTCAGTTATGGTTTAAGGAGTACATAAATATCCTTGTAATTATGTGTCAAACAATAGGTCTATATGAGACTATGACATATGGCCATGTTGTTGTTGAGCCTTCTCGTCCATGAGGGGCATCCACCGATCATCGTCGGCGTCTGCGGTTCCTCCAAGGGCATAGGCCACCTACGAGAGACCTCCAGGCATCTCTATCCTGGGCCAGCTTCTCCAGGATCTTCCATTCATGGCCAATTTTCTTGATGTCTGTCTCCAATTCTCGGCGCCAAGTGTTTCTTGGACGGCCTCTTTTCCGCTTACCCTGTGGGTTCCATTTCAGGGCTTGCTTTGTTATGTTAGAAGCAGGTTTTCTTAGTGTATGACCAATCCACCTCCACCGCTTCTGGAGAATCTCTTCCTCAATGGGTTTCTGTTTTGTCCGCTGCCACAGTTCCTGGTTGCTGATTTTGTCTGGCCAGTGAATTCTGAGAATCCTTCTTAGACAGTTGTTGATGAAGGACTGGATTCTGGTCAGGTTTACGGCCGTTGTTCTCCATGTCTCGGCTCCATATAGCAGCACAGGTTTTACCATAGCGTTAAAAATCCTTACTTTTAACTTGCTGCCTAAGTTGTTAGAGACCCAAACATTCTTGAGTTGTTGGAAGGCTGCTCTTGCTTTTCCTATCCTTATTTTGACGTCCGCATCTGTACCACCTTGTTTATCTACCATGCTGCCAAGGTAAACAAAACTGTCCACCTCCTCAAGGGCTTCTCCTTCAAGCATAATGGGTGATGTACTGGTGGCATTAACCTTGAGGATTTTACTCTTCCCTTTGTGAATGTTGAGACCCATGCTAGCAGAAGTGGCTGCGACAATGTTTGTTTTCTCCTGCATCTGTTGTTGGGTATGTGCAAGAAGTGCAAGATCATCAGCAAAGTCAAGATCATCCAGTTGATCCCACAAGGTCCATTGGATGCCATTTCTTTTCTGCTGTGTAGATGTTTTCATCACCCAGTCAATGGCTAACAGGAAGAGGAATGGTGACAGCAAGCAACCTTGTCTCACACCAGTCTTCACCTGGAAAGCATCTGTCAACTGCTGGCCATGGATAACTCGGCAGTTTATCCCTTCGTACATGTTTCTGATTATATCAGTAATCTTCTGTGGCACCCCGTAATGCCTTAGCAATCTCCACAGGGTTTGCCTGTCAACACTGTCGAAGGCTTTTTCATAGTCAACAAAGTTGACATAGAGCGGCGAGTTCCACTCTAGTGACTGCTCTAGAATGATGCGCAGTGTCGCTATCTGGTCCGTGCAGGATCTGTTGGTGCGAAAGCCGGCTTGTTCGTCCCGCAACAGAGGGTCTACAGCGTTTTTCATCCTGTTAAGTAGTACACGGTTGAAAACCTTTCCTGGGATGGACAGCAGGGTGATCCCTCTGTAGTTCGAGCAGGAGCTTAAGTCTCCCTTCTTTGGGATCTTGATAAGGTATCCCTCTTTCCAATCGGAAGGAACTTGCTCCTCTTCCCATATCTTCATAAACAGAGGGTGTAGCATTTCCACACTGGTTTCCAGGTCCGCCTTCAGTGCCTCTGCTGGGATGCCATCAGGTCCCGCAGCCTTTCCATTTCTGAGTTGTTTAATGGCCCTGCTAATCTCTTCTTTGGTGGGACTATTACAGTCAATTAGCAGGTCATTATCGGCTGGTTGGATATCTGGTGGATTTCTTGGTTCAGGCCTGTTCAGGAGCTCTTCAAAGTGCTCCTTCCATCTCCCTCTCTGTTGCTCCTCACTTGGTATGGTGTTTCCCATTTTGTCCTTCACTGGTCTCTCTACTTTGCTAAATTTCCCTGACAGCGTCTTAATGGTATCAAACAGTTCCCTCATGTTCCCCTGGTGAGCTGCATCCTCTGCTTCTTTAGCAAGATTATCAACAAATTCCTTCTTGTCTCTCTTGATGCTTTTCTTAACTTCCTTATTTGCATCTGCATACTCCTTCTGGGACTTGTTTTTCTGTGCTCGGGTGCGGCTGTTATTCACTTCTGATTTCTTTCTTTTCCTTTCTTCTATTTTATTCAGCGTACCTGCTGTCATCCATTCTTTGTGTGCCTTTTTCCTGTTTCCTAGCACTTCTTGACATGTTGACTGGACTGTTTCTTTCATGCTTTGCCACTTTCCTTCGGTGGTTTCATCTTCAAGTATTTCTTGTAGGACTTGGAACTTATTGAATAGTGAGATTCTGAATTCTTCCTTTTTGGCTTGGTCCTTCAGGAGGGAGGTATTATACCGAGTCCTGTATGCTGTTTGCTCGGTATAATGTCTCTTTAGTTTTAATTTCATCCTGGCCACAAGAAGATGATGATCTGAGGCAATATCAGCTCCCCTCTTAACACGTACGTCTTGGAGAGATCGCCTGAATTTTTTACAAATACATACATGGTCTATTTGGTTCATCGTTCTCATGTCCGGAGAGACCCATGTAGCTTTGTGAATCCTCTTGTGCTGGAAAATGCTCCCCCCTATGACCAGGTCAGCTGTGGCACATAGGTCCGCAAACCTCTCACCATTGTCGTTCATCTCGCCTATCCCTTGCTGTCCCATAACCTCTTCGTACCCTGTGTTGCTATTGCCGATCTTGGCATTAAAGTCTCCCATGAGGATGACGATGTTCCTCCGTGGGCGATCCTGGACTATGGTCATTACTCTATTGTAGAATTCTTCTTTGTCTCCTTCATCACTTTCATTAGTTGGTGCGTAGCATTGTATAACATCTAGGTTGATGCTACGTTTCTTTGTTCGAAAGGTTGCTAAAAGAATTCTAGGTCCATGGGCCTCCCATCCAATGAGTGCTCCTTGTGCTGCCCTTGATAGCATCATAGCAACACCCAGGGTATGTGGGGCATTGTCTTCTTCGTGTCCCGAAAATATCACCATCTCTCCTGAGATTAATCTCTTCTGTCCCCATCCAGTCCATCTTGCTTCACTAATTCCGAGAATGGTGAGCTTATAGCTCCTCATCTCAGCGGCTATTTGTGCCGCTTTACCAGCCTCGTACATGGTGCGGACATTCCAAGCGCCAATGACGGTGGTAGTCCTGGTAGAGATGATGGTTGTCGGCTTAATAGCTTCCAGGTTTCGGCTTTCACTATTAGGCGTCATATTTTCCTCCTCAAGGAATCCATCCTCTCCCAGGACTGAAATGTCTTTTGTTACTCTTTTCGGTGCTTTTGTAACTATGATTTTTTACATGGCAGGGTTGTTGGCCTTGCGCACAACCACTTGGGGGGTTGCCCCTCACAGCTCAATGGGTAGCTGCCTTTGTTCGGGTTAGGTCCCTAGCCTTTGTGGATCCCTCCACTTCCTACAAGGCAGTAGGGCTGATTTTGGTCCGCCCCGGGTATTTTATTTCCCCGGTACCCTCCATATCTGGCGGGCTTTCCCCTATCCGCCGGCTGGGGAGGCGCTCGATAGAAGATCAGCATCTCCCACGAGATATGGCCATGGACCTATTTTAAAATGCTAGTTTATTGTATGACATTCTCATCAATGTTAAATTTCTCTTGATAATGATCATATAAGTCTAAAGAAAACAAAATCAAGAGGAACTGACAAACATTGAAATTTTCAGGGGTTTTTTTTTTTTCGTATCTAAAAATTGTGTACAGTGTCTATCTACTTTTTACAGACATCCTACAGTTCTTACTTGTAAGGTGTCTCATTTCCCGGGGTTTTGTTTATCCCAAGGAAAGGGATAAAATTAACTCTCATCCCGAGATCCTGGGGAAAACCAGAGTTAAATTAATTAAGCTAAAAATGTTTTAAAATCTGAATTTTAACTATACACAAAGTATTTTAACATATTGAACTAAGTAGTGTACTCGAAGTTTCCAAGGAAGGGTGGCATTGCCTAGAAAATTTTATATTATAAAAATCGAATGGGTTCCCGCTTGAGAAGCCCTCGCTCTTACAGATATTTACGGAAAGTCATTTAATGAAATCCCGGAGTTCCCCGCATGAATAATTCCGCACACGATTATTCCACACACGACGTATTCCCCAAATTTTTACAAATGTTCGTTGATAGGTGTTAATCTGTTTAATAATTCTTCGAAGCATTCTTTCTACCCACCAAGAGGCGTGCTATGGTGGCAGAGAGGGACAACAGACTACATGGGGGCGCCGAAATGAGCCTATATGGTATTTTATTAATGAAGATCATGGGCTTCAGAGTTGAACCAAAGTGGGGGCGTAAATGAATATTGTCCCCGTTTTCCAAATAAACACTTTAGCTACGCCCCTGTACGCAGTTCTTTATTTGCTCTTCTTTATTTTTAAAAAAATCTTTTCCCACTTTATATTTAATAATATTGTTTTTTCTGGTGAAATTAGCATGATTTTAAAGTTGTGTAAAGGAATTTTCTTTTCTTTTTTTTAATACAGAAGGATTTCTTTATTTTAATTACATTTTCTATTCCAAGTCAACAATATATTAAACCTTCCAAAAATAAATTTCGTGATAATATTTAATTGCTTATATATTTTAATATTATAAATTTACCTAAATTTAATTTGAAATAATAATAATTATTTTACAAATAAATAATTTAAAAGACTTTCTTTCGTGGAGTAACGAGATTCCACGTGACGTCATCATGGCCACTGAAAGCTGATTGTATGTTGATCTTTGAAGAATATATCGGATGTGTTTCGAGTTGCTCGCTTTTACGACTGAAGTTCTTTTGAATGCTTCGAATTTCATATACTAACCGAAAACGCCTTTACAACAACATTTTCGATCACATTTGACGAGTGGGGAGCTCAGGATGTCCCGACATGAAGGTAAAGTTATTATAAACAACAAGTTATTCATTACTACCAGTACCAGCCACCAGGCCTGCATCATATACCACTACAAGTTACAAGTTTACAATCTCCAGTCCTTGAGTCAAATATTATTATTACTAAACCTATTCGTATTAGGCGACTGACCTAGTTTTATGTGTGGGTGTAGGGGATTTAACTTATGTTAAAGTTATACTTCATAATTGAAATAAATACTAGTACTAGTACTAGTTTATTTTTGTATGGAAGTGGTCAGTGTAGTCATGTGTAGGTGTCTAACTGCCAGAAAAAGAATTCTGTTTATCTTTTCTTAGTCTTCTTACAAGGATACTTGCTTCTATCAAGTCAAAAGTGCAAGTCTCTAATAAAAAGTTAGCCTATAAACTACTAACAAGTAGGGGAGTAGGTCTACTATTCCCAAGCCCAAATAGTAGGTCTAAGTCTAAGCTAAGTCCCACATACTCATAGATGTAGTTTAGTCATAGTCTAGCTCTAGACCTAATTGTGAATTCTAAAATTGGCAATGGATAGATTAATTCTCATATATTATAATAATAGTATGGTCTATGGGTAAAATGTAGTTAGCATCAGGACCAGCGATATTTTCCAAGGTAGTATATAGTCTATATTGCCTATACTATATGAAATGGGTAGGGATAACAATACTTGTCCATGCACCGTTCTGCGCATGTCCTAAAATGTCGAAAAAACGTGTTCTACAATATGGCGTACGGCTACACGGTATCTTTGGAAAATTGAATACTACGTCACCTTTGTTTATTAAATAATGCTTTCCTCATCAGTGACGTATCAGTTTTTGTGTTCCGGTGATATATTGATTTATGCTACAAGATTTTTTGTGTATCACGGACAGTATTATTATAATGACTCGGTTAGTTTATAAATCGCATAAATACTTTTTTACTAGTAAAGCCACCAAAATAAGGTTTAGTTCCACCCAATCTACATTCATTGTAAGAGTTTTTTCATTTTTTGAGTTATTATCGTTGATCTGTCTATAAAAAGTTATGCATCCCACGAAGGAGTGGGGGTATGAAATTGTCATTTTTTTATATTTTGATCAAGAAGCCGGAAATGGCTGCTATCACTGTGATTCGTTATGTTAAATCCTTAAACGTCTAAATAATGATAAGACGTTTAAAATGAATAATTTTAAGAAAAGATTATAACCAAATAACATTAAAGTTTAATTATGTAGTAACCAATGGTTGGTTTTAAGTTTTATTTATTACGTTAAAAATTGTGTACGGTACCGGTACACAGTTTATCGTTCTTTCATAATTATTGAATCAATATTTAATAGTTTTACAATAGTAATGTCAATAATGATAATCGTTTTTCTCTTATTAATTATTTCAGACAATACTACTAAAATTAGGCCTACATATCAATATCAGTTATAATTATAAACAACTGTTATTATAATCCTATAATAGTCTATATTTAGGCCTAAGCTTAATTTTTCTTAATCTAATTCTACTACTAGTACTACGACAATCAACAACCACACTTACTAATAATAATATATTTTTTAGTTAAGCCTATATATAACAGTTTTATTAAAACACATCAAATTAATAAACAAGAATCAAACAACATCATTGTTGTAATTATATTTTTAGTAGAACATTGAAAAGCAGTACCTACATAGACAATTATTTAATATATCAAATAACATATTTTAATAAATTAGTCTCATCGTCATAGATGATTTTATAGAGTAATTTTTATTTATAATTACATGAGTTCAATTTTATATATAAAAAAAGACTACTTACCTTTTTATAAATATAATAATTGATTTAAAATGTAAAACAAGCATAGTAAAATTATTTAAAATTCAATAAAGATGTTATTTTTTCGTTTTTTCCTGTATAAATAATGATTTTCCCAATTTTTCTGTTCACTTTTTTCTGAACATACCCACAAATAAATATATAAAAAAATAAAAGTCTTGATGTTATATAAAACTTTTGTTGTTTATTGGGTTGTATATTGCATTGGGAATGTCTCCTGAAAATTTGGTAGCATTATCTTTTAAAATCCAAAAGTTTTGGGCAAAATAAGGCAGAAATTTGGAAAGTGGGTCACACGTTTTTTCAGTTAAATACTAAGATAAAGAAGGGGGTTTTAAAAAATCACCAAAAAAAGATAGAAAGATGAAATTGGTGTTGTTGTAAAGCTTATAGCTAGCCCTTTAAAATGATGTATCATTCATGTCGATCGGACAATATTTAAATTTTGTGTCAAAGTACCTAATATGGGTCATGTAGGTTTCCCAGGTCGGCTACCGGCCATAGTTCCGTATTCAAACGATTTAGATTTTTAGCTCCGTATTTATTTGATTACTTTTTTCCCCCTCATTTCTAAATTCTGTTTTCTCACTTTAATTTTGTCTTATTAATGGGGCTTCCCTCCCCAGCATAAATATTATGATTAAAATGATGTAACCAGGAAATAGACATAGTCGGCACATTATTATTATTATTAGTGGTTTTATATAGCGTGGTACCCAGCCTGGGGCTTGGCTCTCCACAGTGTACATACAATTTAACAAACATAATCATGAACTTAAAAAAAATTAATAAACATAAATTAATTAAATAAAGCAAAACAAATGTATACTCACTCCACCCATTCCAGAACTATTTACATGTCAAGCCATGGACAGCACCTACCAGCATCGTTTATCGGTCGGAGGGGGGAGTCAGTCAGGATAGTAGAGTTTAAAGAGATGTTTTGAGTGCAGTTTTGTAGGCTGTGATGGTCGGTGTATTGCGGATGTGTAATGAAAGAGAATTCCATTGTTTGGGGGCACAGAAAGAGAAAGATCGTTCACCGTACGTTTTTGTGCGAATCTTGGGGACACAAAAAATATGCGCGTCTGCGGAGGAGCGAAGCTGTCGAAGGGGCGAATAGATAGAAAGAAGTTCGGTTTGATAGGAAGGGCAGGAATTCGAGAAAAAGTTGTGGCAGAGAACAGAGAGTTTGTAGTCAATCCGTGCTTGTACAGGGAGCCAATGAAGTGAATAAAGTAGTGGTGTGACATGATCAAGTTTTTTTGCCTTTAGAACTAGACTACAGCTGAGTTTTGAACCTTTTGTAATTTTTCTATGAAGTGTTTTGGTGAACTTGACAAGAGGGTTGCAACAGTCAAGACAAGAGAGAACAAGAGCATAGACTAGGGTTTTTGTTGCACTAATTGTGAGGTAGTGGCGGATGGAGCTGATTAGACGGATAGCGGTGTATGCAGTGCGAAAAATGTGAGAGATATGATTATTGAGAGACATATTGTTAGACAGAATATAACCAAGACTCCAATCGGAGGATGTAAACTGTATGTCGGATTTACCTACTTGAAATGAGGTGGGGAGAGCTGAGTAAGAGGATGATTTGTGAACGTGAATAAGGAGTGCTTCCGTTTTGTCATCATTAAACTTCAACTTGCTTAGTGTCATCTATGACTTGACATCACTAATGCTTTCCAGCAAAGTCGGGACAGCAGAATCGACAAGAGGCATAATCCTTCAGTCTACAGATGACAGTGTCACACAATAAAGTCAATACTTATACACTCACAAACATGCGCCCCCACCGGGCCATGTTCATAATCATGATTATAACATAATCATGGCTTTGTCCATAGTAGTAAAGGTGCAGTTAGTAGGATGTTTTAAAAGATATTTAGTCCGTGCGATATCATTCAATGATTCATTTTTATCAAGGAAGTCCAGACAGAGAGAGAGTTTTTCTGTCTTGTACTTTTATTACAGAGCGAGGAAGTCTGGAAATGCTATACAGGAAATGGTAACTCCATTTATTTTGGGAAAAAATGCGCTTAAGTGAGAAAAAGTATTTTAATAGCTATTAGTTCATTTTGATTTAGTGCTGATACTAATATTTCAAAATCAGCTGTGAATGTTGGTCTCCAAGTCCATAGTAGTAGTAGTACTAGTAGATTTACTAGTGTTTTTGCCTCTGCCAGCTTGTTTTTTTTTTCGTACTGCAAGTCTGTTGGTCTGTTATTGATCCAAATAAATAGATAAGTAGATAAAGCAAATCTTTAAAGGATATTCCATTTTTATGTTAGTGCTAAGCATGACATATGTCAGTCAACTTTAATAATAATATTTTGTTAATTATTATGGAATTGATTGGTGGACTTTTTCAGTGTAAAGAACCATCAGGAGTACTTTTTTTGCTTTAGTTGTCTCTCACTCTGTTTATATAAGTTGTAGATTGCTTTTAATTGGAATTTTTCAGATTTTAATCCTTCTTTCATGAAAATATTATGAAGCCTAGATTTGATATCTTCTTGCTTTATTATATGTGTATATATTTAAATTTCATTAGGTGTGAGCTGTGATTCTTGCATGAAAGGAAATTTTCGTGGCAAAAGATACAAGTGCTTAATATGTTATGACTACGACCTCTGCTCGACTTGTTATGATGCCGGTGCAACTACAACTAGGCACACAACAGATCATCCCATGCAATGTATTCTTACAAGAGCTGACTTTGGTAAGAATAATTATGTTAATAAAATTTTACTTTTAAAAATTTTATTTTTTTCTGTGCACAAGTATTACAATTTATTTTTGGAGAGCAAAATATGAATCACACCAGTCATAGAATGCTATAATTTACTTTGTTTAGTACGGATGTAATGAATGTCATTTTAACTATTTCTAAATTTGATGCGGGTCAACACACACTCCTTTCTTCCGCTGTTCTCAAAAGCACGGACCAACGGGCTTTGTGTTTCAATATCATTTTTTTTTCTTTGCTATTTCTCGGTTAAGCTTTTTAAGAGCTATTTTTAAATAAGACTTTTACATAGAAGAGTGGTATTTCATTGTTTATAAGCGAAACCAAGGTTTAGCTGTTGTCATTTGAAGCATTATTTTAATGATTTTCTTCGCTTTTTTTTTTCTACTGTTGCTATGTCTACTCTAGGCCCTAGTAGGTGAATAAGTTTCCTAGACGATTGACAGCTCAAAAAGCTTTGGAATAGTTTTATACTATTTCTTTTGATCGTGAAGATGATTTATATTTAGATCCATCGCATGATTCCCATACTAGTAGTTTTAGAGGATTTGAGTTGAGGAAGTGGAGATGAGGTATGCGTACATCATAGGGTTTGGGGAAAAAATTGTTCAGCATAAAATATTTTCACATTTTATGGTCCTTTTCTGTAACTTATTTTATTTAAACTGAAGAAATAAGTTTACAAACATATATTCCTTTCAATTATCTTTCATTTGATACCAAGTTTAGTCTTGTAAACCAAAGAATAATATTTTAAATATTTTTTAATAAACCCAACCTCTCACTCTTTTTCGCTTTTTGAAAAAAGTTTACATTTTTTCGATAAAAAATTTTGCAGCGAAAGAGTTAAGATGAAATCAATATTTAAGTCTCAAACTTGATGACAAAATTAAACTGTTGAAAATCGTCACTCTTATATCATCACACCTGGTTATCCACAGTTGTATCATAGACAAACATTGACTGGCGATTTATTTATTTAATATATTTATTTATTTTAGTTCTTTGAAACAGAAACATGAAATAATTCACATTTTTAAACTTACCATCTAATTTATATATTTTAACGGTCTACAATTATAATATGCACTGGTAAATGTAATGTTTAATGACATCTTCTAATATGGGAAAGGTCTCTCCTGAAAATTAACAAGCTTATTTTCTTTTCCATACCTTGTATCCCCTTTTCCCCTCTTAGGTTAGTAAGCAGTGTTTTAACTGTAATCACAGACAATTTTAAGAGTAGTATTCTAAAGTTCATTCAGATACAGCTCAGAGAATCAGGTCCTTTTGAAAACTGAGTGTTTTTATAGATAAATCCATCTTCGTTTAATTTAAACAGATGTGTATTATGGTGGTGAAGCCTTGACAGCAGAGCAACCTCAGTCTTACACTTGCCCACATTGTTCGAAGATGGGTTTTTCAGAATCAAGCCTCCATGAGCATGTTTCAGCGGATCATGCAGACACCTCTGCTGAAGTGGTAAGAAAATTTTAACTGTTTGAAATGCTTACAAGATACAAAACACTGTATCATTCCACATTATCACAATACATCATGCTGCACAAAGTAGGATTTGTATATCATATATATACATATATTTTTTAGTTGATTTTGAAAAAAAATCAGAAGCATAGATGTTTTTAAAAAAATTTATGTAAAGTTTGATGACATATCGTACTGTTATTTGTTTGTTATATATGAGCTTACTTTCACTGTCCTATCTGCACACTATAACTTATTTTATCATGTTACTTAGTAGCATGATAGAGAGTGAAATGCATTGTTTACATACCTTAAGCCAGTGGCATAACCCCCTATATGACCAAAACAGAAATGAAATTTTATTTGTAAGACCCTATTTGGCAAAATTGTATTCAGTTAAAGCTTAGCTAATGCAGCATCAGAAAAGATCCATTAATTAATATTATGATCATGTATTCATGTATGATATGAAATTACTCCAAAGCTAAGAACTTGCCATAATATTCTATAATTTAAAAACACTGTCTCAAATAATTGCATTCGGGGCGGTCCACTCTCTTCGCCACCCTTCTCCTACGCCTTGACCCCCTACCCTACTTGTTGCCTTTGACAGCTCTGTCATTGGCCTTTCTGACTACACCACTGCCTTAAACCTATTAATATGAACAAGAGGGAATATGTGAATTAACTTTAACAACTAGTTATTCAGGGCCATGTAGGAGGGCTAACTTGTTACTCTGAAGCAAGTAAGTTAAAAAATTTAATAATTTAGGTATATCTTTTTTAACACAATATGACCATTATTTTTTCTCATTTAAAAAACAGGTTTGTCCTATTTGTGCTTCTTTACCTGGAGGTGACCCTAATCATGTGACTGATGACTTTGCATCTCATTTGACTGTTGAGCATAGGACACCCAGAGATTTCATATCCTTTCATTTTATTTTATCTAATGATATATTTGCAAAAAATTGAATGTTTTGATATACAATTATTATTAAGCTTGGTATGATAAATATTATAAAATATGCATTGCCACTTAAACAATGCTACTTCAGTGCATTTGTCTAATGATCTGTGTTTTGACCAAGAATAGCCTCCAGTGCAGATTGTGTGTTTTTTCTTCTCACACTTGTACAAACAATGGTTGAAATTCATGTTAGATCCTTAATTTTATGAACGATGAACCACCTGGACTTCGCCATGTTCGGCGAATTCCTCATCCTGGTCGAGGCGTTGGTGGCTCAAGGACTCGCCGCGCCAACATGCAACATTTTGGTTCAGGTGCATCAACTTTGACTGGTCTTTCACCCAGCAGTCGTGAAAATATGGATCCCATAGCAGGTTTGTTGTTTTTTTTTAAACAACCACAAGTTTATATGCTCGCATTCGAATTGTAATCATAGGCATGCACTATTCATTTTAATTATTTTATATGTTAAATAGCAAATTGTTTTTAAAAAATCTTTATTTTAAACAGTGTCCAACTATACACAAATTGAGTCTAGCATCTTTTTGTCTTTATTATTCAGATGTGAGATAAAATGTTAAATATTGGGTTATAATTTATTTAACAGAGCTGTTATCACAGTTGTCAAGTGTACGTAGCCGTGCTGCGGCAGCACAAAGTGTTTCTTCCCAATTACAACAGCTGGAAATGCAGTTACAGTCCACTAGGTCAGTCACTAAGTATGTAAACATTTCTGTGCTGTTCATATGTATGTTATTTAATTAAGATGTTCACCATTTTTTTTTTTGTAAATTCAATTAATAAATGAATTTTAATTTGAAATTGTATTCACATCTAGATAAAAACTATTTAGAATGTTCAGGGTTGATACACATATTGTTTTTTAAAATAATTTTGTGGGTAGGTGTTATTATTTTTGCTTTACAATTAAGGTCCTTGTGAGCATTTACTTTGTTGTTTTTTTTTGAGCTTTTTAAAGGAGAAATTTTGGAATCATGACTAATTCAAGTTGTCTAAATTGTTTAAATTTTCTTGGAACAATACTAAAAATGTTTTCCCCTTGAAAGTAAAGTAATTTTGGAATCATGACTAATTCAAGTTGTCTAAATTGTTTAAATTTTCTTGGAACAATACTAAAAATGTTTTCCCCTTGAAAGTAAAGTAATTTTTAAATGAGGCATTGTAAACTCATGTACCGGTACCTTTCTGCAGAACTAAGTAATATTTGTTAATACTGGTTTTGGTCAACATTACAAGGGTAACATTTAATGCATCTCAATGAAGTTATAAAAAGATAATTAAAGGGCTTATAATGCAGTAGGAAGAACATTTTTGAAAGCGTGGTAAGTGTTATTTTACCTTGAGGTTAAAAAACAACAACTTACCAATAAAGATCCTCTATACTGATAGGCCACCAGAAACACTTACACGGTATTGCCCATGTGTGCTTTATCTTTATGATACATTATTAGACAATTCCACTATTATTTAAGAATTGGTAATCTTTCTTAAATTCATCTTTAGAGTTCTAAAATAGTCTATGGTATGCAAACAAATTTTTTGTTTTCCTAAGCAACTGTGAGGGACATGAACTCTCTGAGTTAACTTTCCATTATACTGAAGTTGTGGACTCATGTCAATAGAATCCACGCTCATTGATTGATTTATTTTAAGTTAAGTTTAAAACACCATAACATTGTAGGGTAACATATAATAAATTTTAGCTTACCGATATTGAATATACCAGTAATCTATAACTGCATGTAAAGCTAGTGAAATAAAGTGTAAAGAAATATATCCTAATTGATATTTGAGAGCATGACTGTTATAACTGGAATGCAGTCATTTCTGTTAATATTAAGGACATTACATTTATGAATCTTCTAAGAAAAAATCCTAAGCGATTGAATATGAAGCCTAATCTAAGATTTTTCTTCAGCTACTGGGGACTGAGTCCCCAGACCCTGAATCAAGACACTTTCCTGCATCTAACTGGAATCAGAAGTACTTCAGACAATTCCCGCGCTGAAAGGTTTTGTTTTGATTTTTCTTGTAACATTCAAAATAAATAGTTGGAAGTGCTTAATCGCCGGGAAATTGTGTTGCTTGGGTGATCCTGTTTGTTCAGGGGCAAAAGACTAGATGATATCAAATGTGTATTAACCCTGAATGGCCTAATTTAGCTCTAGCTCAAGTTGTGGCTCTGGCTCTAAAAAAAAGTCAATAAATTAGCTTTTGTTTTTTTTTTTTAAATTTTGGTATTATACCTTTATATGATTTAAATTGTGTTTCATATTTATTCATTATTTTCATTGTGCTAATTTACAATGTTTTAGGCAACAGTTGGAACGCCTACCGCGAAGACAGGCAGAGGCAAGTAAACCACCAGCCACAAATAATACAGTTCCTTCACAGCCAGAACCTGCTAGCATCCCAACCACAGCTACCAAAACAGATTCACAGTTTCTTCTAACAAAGTAAGCATCTAACAGACCTGTTTACTCTTACGATTTTGGCGTACCATGTAAGATTTTTAGATGTATACATTATATATACTGTATGTTTATTTTTTACTATTAAGATAATGTATTAAATGATTTTGTGATATTGTACGATTTTAAGCGTTTAAGGGTAAACAGGTCTGGCATGTAAATGATCCAGGATTAGAACCGATTGCTTTTTGTATAACTGTATATGAAGAATATGATCAACAAATTGTGATCAGAGCTTAATATTTATATATGGTAAGAAAAGCAACTGTTGATGGAGCATCTTAATTTGAGCTGGTCAATCACTTCTAAGATTAAATGCTGAAAATGAAACATATACATGTATACCTTATAAGTCCAACTTGCTTACTTTTCTGCTAGCCTGGAAATTCAAATTCAATTACTTAATCGAAGTTTGAGTAAGCATTGTCTAATATGTTTACATGTTAATGTTATCTTTTTCTTCACATCTTCACAGGTTGTGTGCTGAGACTGCAGGATGCGATCTTGGAGCTAATGGTGGAGAGAATGACATCTCACAGCGTAACGTATTTGTACAGGAGTTACTTCTGGCCACATTGACAGAGCAACTCAGCTTGATAACAGAGGGTGATGGAGAGGATCCAAGTTCCATATTGGAGGCTCTTCGTTCACCAGAGTCTGATGTGGAGCAGGAGGCTTCACCAGTTCAAAAAGAGAATAGAAATACAAATGAGTCACACAGTAAACACCGCAGCACCAAGACTGTGGACAAAGCTGTGGGAGGGGCAGTAGAAAAAGTGCCAGGGAATTATGGGGCTAGACCTGTGTCTTCTGGCACTTACAGGGAAAGTTCTTGGGGTCATGTGAGTAATGCTGCCACTGCACGCCAAGTGTGTAGTCCTATCACCGTTCCAAATTCTGTGGCAGTGCATGGTCCAAATTTAGGTTCGTCAGGTGGGGTTAATATGATGCAAAGCAGGGCTTCATCTACTCCTCATGGGGGTAGAGAAAGAAGCTTAAATCCCGCTACTGCAAAAAGGAGCATGCTCAAACACATGCCACCACAGAGGGGAGCTTCTGATACAGATCCACCCCCTCACTAACCTCCATATTAGACGCTTGAGGACTTTCATATCTTTCTAGCTATTTACTAAGCTTAGAGGATTAATTCTGCCATCGATAAATTATTTCAGTAATATGAATAAAATGATAAAACATCCAATTCCTTGTGTAACAAAGATTTTCTATTGCCATTGGCGGCTTCTAATAAATTTTATTTTTGTGAATAAAGTTTAGAATAAAGTGAATGTTTTTGTTCTGAACTTTACAAGAGCATCCCAGATAAAAGGTAATTCAATTTTCTTAATATTTTTTTTTTTAAAATCCTCCCAAATTTTTTTTTCTTTCTCCCTTATGTATTAACTGTTGGAGATATTGTTTGAAGTGAAAGCTAGTTTATTATACATGTAATTGTTAATACTTTAAGCTTTCAAATATGTGGCTGTTTTGTCTCATCTGTGAATGGGAGAACAAATAGAGCAGAAGAAAAATAATCTTTGTGTTTGGTGTTTCAATTTTCAATGAAACTGTGATATTGTAACTTTGCTCTATTCCTTTTCCTTTGCATCCCCAACATAAAGGAAGAACAGCTTATAAGTTTCACTTAAAAGGTTTCTTTTGTAATTGTTGTTTATTTTTGTTTTACAAAATTAAAAACTAATTGAAGTTATCAAATACACACTAAGTATATAATTCAACTATAACTAATTGAGGTAGAATCCAGAAAGAGAAGTATTATTGAAAGTAAAGGCCTTGTGTATTTTGGGTAGTTTTCCAAATAATCATAATGCATAGCATTCTATATTTTTTTCCTTCAGACTTGGTTTTGTTATGAACTCACTAGATATGCACAGTAATAATAACCATTACCAGACATATTTATTAGTTTTTAAAGTTTTAATTAAAAACTTTTGCCATAATGTTTTATTATTTGTCCTGCTAATGCAAATGTCAGGTTGACAATCTTAGGTCGGTCAAGCTTTTTTTATGTAATCTTAGCACTATTTATTATGATCTATCATATTTAAATGAGGGTTTCACACACTTTTTATGCAAGTTAATATTTCAATGTTTGACCATTTTCTTTGTTTCTGAAGACATTCAGAAGCTTATGCAATGGTAATAAAATTTTTACTTGAAGAATAAAAGATATAAAAACTTGGCAGAAGTATTTAATTCATAAGTAGTAGTTAAAATAGTAGTGTTGGTTTTTTTAATTGTGCTACCGTACACCATGTTGACAGTGAGCTTATTTAGTTAAGAAGGGGGAGTAGGCACAGATTTTATATATATGCTCTTCAATTCAGGGGATATTTTCCTCTCTTTCTCCCTCTTCCCTCAGCTAAGCCACTTTGATTTGATAACTTAAATTGGGCAAACAATAGTGCTTTCGTATTAAGGAAAAACGTTAATTTTGTGTGTGTAAATATAACTATTAGCCACGCTTATTATTTGCTGAACCTCCTATTTCCTTTCATTGAACGCAGATGTTAATTTCATTGCATTGTGAAAATTTGACAGTGATATGTGTATATATTTACTAATTACCAATGTTCTTCAGTCGCAAAGTAACATTGTCATCATGGAAGAGTGCTCTCTGTAAGAAGTAATAAATAAGGAAGGGTGTACTCTTTTTAGGGTTTATCCATTGTAAGTTCCAAAGTATTCTGGTGAGTCAGTGTGAGAGGCAGACACTAAGGAAGGTGTGAGCATCATGAATAAATTGTGTACACTTTGATGTTATTTGTATCTTCATTTCAATGGAAAGCTATGTGTATGGTTTGCATATTCATATAGTTCTTTTTATTGGTTTCAGAAATTAAAACTCAATAATAGTAACTAGAAGCTTAAGTTTATTTAAAGGCATTAATAATATGAAGCGGGATATATCTGGTAATTATTAGATATAATCAATATGGAATCCATTAGACTTTTTTCTCCAAAGTATTTAATTATTGAATCAATCCATTTATGTAAAATAAAACACTGGGAATTTTTACATGTTGGGATTTCATGCAACATCATAACAAAGTAAAATCACTGATTGATTAATAAAACACTTTAAAAGAATGACAAGTGGTAGATGGGAATATTTGTAATAATAGTCTTTGATTTGAAAACTAGTTTCCCTCCAAATAGCTTAAAAAATATACTAGTTATAAAAAAAAATGTGTTGTGACAAAGTTTTCATTATAGTACCAGCAGTTTGTGATCATAAATTCTTTTACCAAGAGTTAAGAAACACAAAGCAATTTTAATAAAATTTAAACAAATGCTTTAGAAAAGGCAAAGTAAAACACTATGTAATAAGTTCTAATCTGAGGTCAGCCATTTCAAAAGAGTATTAACTGTTTCTATTTAATGCTAACTGGTAGCTGTTGGTTTGGGGCTGTTTTAAAATAAAAAAAGATAGGAAATTTCAGCAAGTTCAGGGTACTCATTGCCATGAAGGAAAAAACACTATGTTCATTATCATAATAGATAGGCCCTAAGTACACATTAAGAAAAACGTCTTTAGTGAACCTGACCAAAATATAAAATAACCCTTTTAGACCCTGATGTGATATCGAAGTCCTTAAGTGTTTAAAAGTTAAAATTCCATGTAAAAGATTACTGTTTTTCATGAAGGACATCATTTCTGTCATAAATTAATAGCTTTGAAGATTTGAAAAGTGAACATATTTTAGGAATGTACTTTTTCCCTGAGGGGTCGAGGTAAGGCTAAGTGAAGCTTCATTTTCCATATTTAAAACAATGTGATAAATCTTAGCTTTCAGTCTGTAAAATGTAAGGGATAAAATAAAAATATAAAAATGATCAGGAAATATGATGAAATATGGAACTTTGTTAGATAATTAAACTTGCTTTGGCTATTTTTTAAAAGAAAAAATTCTGCTCCAACTTCAAGGCACCCGATGATATTTTTTAAGGTGTGGTCAACCTTTTTGTGCAGAGTTAATGTTTTAGGCGTGCTGCTCGATAATTTTCCAGACAATAATTGAAAAATAAGTTTAAAAATTAGCAGATGAGTAATAGTAATACTAAGTTCGCTGTGATTATAAATTTTCCAAGTTTTTTTTTTTACAGATAATAATTCACTATTTGTACATTTTACAAAAGCAATACAGTTCCCCTAAGGTCTTGCATGGGGCCCGCTGGCAGGTACGTTGCCCTCGCCCTCCGTGCTGTATGATACATAAAATAAGACTTGTTTTCACTGAGAAATAGAGAGAAATTTAACATCTGGCTGGTGTTGTGGTTTTGATTTGCTATCACAGTTTGTATAAAGAGCACAAATAAAGCAACAGTCATGCAAACATTAAGATCACAAGGAAAATCTCTGCAACCAAATTATTTCAAAATACATTTTTAAAAATTTAAATAAACAAAAAAGTACATTTTTGTTACCGATAAAGTACATTTTTGTTACCGATAAAGGTAGCTTACTTAGGACACTCGATTCGGTTACGTACCAAATTAAATAAGTCAACTAAGATTGAGATCAACTCAACAGTAGCTGAAAGAAAACATACAAAAGAACCACAAGCACACATTTACACAACAGACTTATTTACAGCTGTTTAGTGGTGAGGTGTAAAGATCCAATGCTTTGCTGGACATGGGCTGTATTGAATAACAGAATCTAATTTCAGCTCTTAAACTTCTTGAAAATACATACTGAAAGTGTGAGAAGATCAAAGAAAAATTCAGTATTTCTCAAGGGCAAATGGGACAAAAATGCCACTGAAACATACATCTTTATTCTCCAATAAAGTAAGGCACTTTTAACGCCAAAAGGTCACTACTAAGAAATAGTCCATTTCATGGGTAAAACTTAAGTTAAAAATAAAAATAAATAATCTTTGTGAGACAAAAATGTTGAATTGTTAATAGAGCATTGAATAAGCATATACATGTAATTGCATCAAATGGTTAATACTAACATATCCAAGCTTTTGAAACACACAGCATTGTTTTTTTTATTGCACAGTATAGGTCGAGGTGAATAATTTACCTAGCTTATTTAAATATTTTCCAATAATAATAGTAAACAATACTATTTATCAAAGTTAGAACTAGTGGGTTTGAGACTAGTGGTATTAAAATATTTGAACATAACTTTTTTTTTTTCTTCTTATGCTAACATGATGGTAGGAATACATAAAAAAAACATATCAGTACAGTGTTCCCTCATTTTTCATGGCGATGTTTACCGAAATTGCTGCCCAGGTCAAAATGTGGTAATGAGAATCACAGTTTGCATAATATTGATATTGTGGCATCTACTCAAGCAGTACCATTATGATATGCAAGACATTTTTTATTATAGGGGCAGGGGAGAAGAAAAAAAAAGACCTGTAGTGTCATTTGGTCTTTTAAAGCATTCAATAACTAGATATTGTGTTTTTTATGCACTTAACTGATCGGGAGTGAATAATGAAAAAAGAAAAGATCACATTTATAATTTATACTATACTACTTTTAAACTCATCATCTGTTCAACACGGAACACAGACTGAAGAATCCACAATCAGAAATTTTTACCCCACACTCTGAAATATTAGTACCGGTATTGGTAAAAGTGCTGCAATATCGAAGATGGCAATACGAAACCATTCAAATTGAGGGAACAGTGTAGCTATAAACTATGATAAAGAACAACATTGGTACCATATTATTTTTAAAATGCTAACTGTAGTGTAACTTTTTACAAATATTAAACAAACACTTTTAAATTTCATTAAAAAATCTTTTTTGAATAAAATAAGGCACATATACAAATGATCCTTATCTCATTTTCACACCATCACCAGATTGTCCATGGTGGTCTCCTGGCTGCAACTTGGGGTTTCCCTGTCAGATTTATGGGGATGTTGATAAGCGCTCTGTCTGATCTGACAATACTAAGCTGTCGTCTGATCATTGACCTGAAAATGAATGTTTTAAAAAAAATTTAAGCAGATATAAATTATAATTTTGTAGGCCTACATTGATTTTAATTACTTTTAAATAAGTGAAAAAGTTCAGATTAAGTTGAATATATATCCAAGTAAAAAGGGGCCACATTCAAAACTCCTCTTTTCTTTTTCAAATTTAAAGTACCATACTTTTTTTTTTAATGATTAGTTTGAGATAGCTGGGAACAAAATGTTTCTTTTCTGGGCCAAGTTTACAAAAAGTGTTTTCCTCCAATAAGAGGCCATGATCTACTAAATGTGTGGGAATATTTGTAAATGTATGCACCAAATAACTCGGTATCAAACAACTCATGACTCTTAATATAGCATATATGAATGCAAATAATTATTAATGAAGTAAGTTACCTTTGGCACACAAAAAACTCACCCATCTTTTCCTAGTAGAAAAAATGAAGGAATGCGAACAACTCGGTCAGTGCTGTCATTAATCATGTCTATCATTGTGTTATCATTTGTTTCATCGTTATCCGTAATAATGGCTGCCAGAGCACCTGCCTTCTCAACTATTTTGGTTTTTGTTAGAAAAGAACATTCCCTGCCAAAAAGTTAAATTAATAAATAGGTCCATAAAATAAAATACAATGAAGTGATGTTACCATACAGGCTTGAATAAATTTGATAAAGGAAATAATAGAGAATTTATTAATAGTGGTATTTTCTTATAAGATAAGATAAGATTCTTTTATTGATCCAAACAAATGGAAATATTTTATGATTGCATTGTACATTTTCAGCACATATAAAAAACAATTTGAAAAAAGACATTTGTAATAAATTTTTTCACTAGCAGCCATTTCGTGAGTTCTCTTAGCCATATCAGGGACTTATTAGTTCTCATTAATTGTTAAAAGTTAATGAAATAAATCAATGAACTATTGTATTTGTATAGCCTTGATAAATTTTATATCTATGTCTAAGTATCCTAAGTATACAAAATGATTAATTAAGATTAAAAAATAAAATAGCCACCCTCTAACAATTAATACAACAAGTCCTCGAACATCATTATAGAGATCCTGGCATGCTTCAATAGGATCGGCTAATATAAGCTCTATTCCTTGATGAAAGGTGTCCTGTAAGATAAGAAAGTAAGCAAAATGATAGGAATTGAAATTCTATGAATAAAGTTTAAGAAAAAAATTGTTAAATTATAAATTATAATGTTGAAAAAACATTTATTATTAGGCTTACGATAATACCATACATTCCTGTTTGGCCGGGATCCTCTCGTTTTAACAACCTTTTCACAGCCAGTTTTGGATTTCATACAGGTATCAATCTCAGTTTGGTAGAAATTAATTGTTCATATTTTTATGTTAGTCTAGTTACAAGTATATGTTAGCATCCAATGTTCCCTTTAAGCTGTGCGGCTGCGCAGTAATCTCACAGATGCTGCGCAGCTAATTTCCACTTAAGTGGCTGTAGGCTGAAAATTTTGCGCGCAAAAAAATTGATGCTGTAAAAATTTGCACTCAACTTTATGATTTTGCACACGAACCAACAAACCTTAGAGGGAACATTGTTAACATCAGAACTGGTTGGTATCAAAATTCATAGTAGGCCTACACATAACTTTAACTTAGCTAAAATTCTATGTTTAAATGTGTACATAGTTTAATATTTAAGCCTGTATTATGCTAAGTGCGTATATTTATGAATAAGTCCATGTGTATATTTAATGTTTTTTGAATATGAGGCTTTTGTCAAATGTTCCACCAGCAACCCATGCCACCCTCCCCCTTTTTCACTTCCTACAACAAGAGAAAAGTCATAGTCTAGTCTGTAATGTTCTCATGACTATGATAAATTCTCCAGTACTAAGGACACTGACTTGTTAAGTTGTTAAGCCATTTTGGACCCTGAAATAAAAGACATTTCTGAGAATTTAGTTAATAAGAGCATACCAGTACTTACAAATTTTGTTCCAAAGTCTTTAGCCTCTTTAAGTTTGTAAGTATACATTAGTGATTCTGGCCAAATTATCTCAAAATATAGAGAGTCTTCAAATTCAAAAACAATAAATTCGTTTGGTGCTGTTGCCATATCTGTATCTGCAGTGACTGTAAACAGATGTAAAAATGAAGTCTTTAAAAAATATTGCTTTTATTTGGCCTATGAAGCTACATAGCACACCTTTATTACATTAGGATTAAAGTGTTTCACTTCAATAATTTGGACGGAAATAACATTGCTAAACCAGGACTGAGGTTGAAGATTCTTTGAACAAAATTAACCAAGCTTAGCTTAGTTCTTAAAATTAGCAAATGGGAAGATTATGATTAATCAGCCTGCCTGCCTTAGTCTGTAGATGCTGATCAATCGAGCACCTATTATTATATTATTTGGCATGAAAGTTATACAGTTTCGTTAAATCATTATAATTATACTAGAATTACTATTTCAATTATTAGTTTTGGATAAACTATACTATTGCAGTACAGTATTCCATTTCATAATTTATCACGATTATTATTCTTTTTATTATGGGGTTATAATTTAGGTTACAGGAGTAAGGGCAAGGGAAAAAACATAATTAGGAATATAACCTGGTCATGAAAGAGAAGCAAGTGCTACTCTGTCACTTAACCATTTGAACCTTGTGCGAGTCAACTAAATATATTTTAAAACAATATATTATTATATTAAATATAAATGTAAAAAATGAATCTAAAAAAAAAAAAGGTATTATTTTAAATTTTTAGTTGTTTGAAAAAGTGCCTATCTGAGCTATCTGATCTGATATTTTTCTAGCAGTGCTGCAATGTGATTACAATTTTAATGCTCCCTGTCAGTTCTAGTTTTGCCCCTACCCCACTGTTTCCTTGTGCCTTGTTATTGTTAAGTTAAACTAAACATTTTAAAATAAATAATGAAAAACACAATGATTGAATAGGCCTAGGCCTAGAGGCTAGAGGCTTATGGCATGGGCGGCTTATGGACTTATGCTAACTAATTTAACTAAGACTAATCCTTAAATAATAATAAATAATGCTAACTAATATTATTGGACTAATACTAATACTAATACATAATAATTAATAAGTTAAATAAGTGGACATTGTGGACTTCACTTACTACTTGCCTTAAAACTTAAAATTAATAAAAATTAAACTCGCTAAGTTAAGGCTAAAGACTAAAGATTAATAAAGAATCAAAGATAAGTTAAAAAACTTACCCATGCCCATACTCATCATACTAACTCCAATATAAAAATTTGTTAACAACGTGTACATAAAACCTGTTAAGAAGGTAATGCATAGTAATCGTATGTTATTATTATTTCCATTGATGCATTCAAAATTGTAATAAATACTTATTCTTGACTTATGCATGACATCAATTGGTAGCTGGGCTCAATACAAAACAAGATAACTACACGTAAGATAACAACCAATCAGTTATAACCTGATATGGAAAGTAAAAGTTGGGATTTAGATTACAACTTTAACATCCGGTTTTCCATGTTCATAGAGGTTTTTCACAGACATCCGGATCAGCGATTCCCAGATACTGACCATGGCCCTCTGGAAAATAAGGCTACCGTGCTGTGTCGTCACATAAATTCACACAACCTGCGCTGAGGCCATGATCCAGAACAACGTACTTACTCACAATACCCGTTGCAAAAATGGGCAACTTAATAACAGTGCAAATATGATTATCATATGACAATATTCCCACAAAATTTCGTAAATGTTAAAATAAATTTTATTACTTTAATTATAAGAAACGTGAATTGAGAGTAGAATTTATTAATAACAAAAATAACTGTGGGCAGATGACTTGACATCATTCTTTTACTTTTCATCTATTCGATTCGGGCCTATCCACTGCTTTCCCCATGGCCTCAAATTATCAAATTAAAATTTGTAATATCATTGGAACAAAAATGAAATTCCAACAACTATTGAACTTTTTGGGCAGATCTCAGCTTCTTAATTTTTTTATTTTATTTATTAGCTTCATCTCTTCTTGTATATCAGTGGTTCTCACCCCGTGGGTGGCGACCCTTTCACAGAAGTCGCCTTAGACCATCGGAAAACACATATACTCTACAATTATGAACTAGCAACGAAAATAGTTTTTTGGTTGGTGGTCAACACAACATGAGGAACTGTAGGAAATGGTAGCGGCATTAGGAAATTTGAGAACTACTTTTCTATATATTTAGGGCCCACGATCAATGATGTATTGATCATTCTGGCTCCTATTGGTGTAGAGGGAGTTTGCAATGTTTCTGTGCCTGTTAATGAAGTGGATATTTCATTGGTTGCAAGGGCTACCCAGCGAGGGTATCACGAACTGAGGGTTGGAAGGCCTGGGGCAATAGACGGAAGTGTTTTCACCTCAACTGTTCCTTTTGGAAGCTTGCTCCAGTCCCTGATTGTCTTTGACAGGAACTATCAGTTCCTGTATTGTGTTCTCGCTTTTAGGAGCCGGAGCTGCCTGCCATGGCCTCGTCGCTGTCTGGGGGGGGAGTAGCAGGCAACACAAAAATCATAATTAGTGACATACACTACACTACTATTATATATGACACGGTGAGATTGTCTTTGACAGGAACGATCAGTTCCTGGATTGTGTTCTCGCTTTTAGGAGCCGGAGCTGCCTGCCATGGCCTCGTCGCTGTCTGGGGGGGGGGAGGATAAGGACGAGTTTCTGTTTAATGCTGGAGCAGTGGACCAGCCCATTATTTATCTTTTACATCGTGGAGAGCCTCCAATGAGGACCAGCCCAGTGTTTCCAGCATGCTGCCAACACAAGAGATGTTCCTGTAGCAGAACGAGGCGTGCTGCTACGAGTTCCGGTTAAGTGGTGCTAAGAGTTAAAGAAATTGTTTATCATTGTCACTTACTTATCTTATTAACAGGGCATTAGAAATTTGTACCAGCAAAACAGCTGATAGAAGAGGGGGCAACATAGCTTGTAGAAGAATGGGGTGGCATAGCTGGTGAAAGAGTGTGGTAACATATCTGTAGCAGAATTAGACAACATAGCTGGTACAAGAATGGGGTGTCATAGCTGATAGAAGCGTGGGACAAGATAGCTGTAGAAGAGTTGGGCAAATAGCAGGTAGAAGATTAGGAGCAACATAGATATATGTTGTAAAGAAGTGGGGCAACTTATATTTAGATTTAGAAGAGTGGGGCATTATGCCTGTGGAAGAGTGGGGCATTAGCTGTGTAGACGAGTGGTACAACATGCCAGGAGAAAAGTGGCGTCAATTTTAATGAATTAATTACAATAATTAAAAAAGTATAAAATACATAATTTAAATGTATGAAAATGAATTTATTACAAAAAATTGAGCTCATTCTGGATGCTACTAAGCCGATGCCGAGGGACAAATGATTTCTTTATTTATACGAATTAGACTGAAAATTACCAAAAATAATTCATACAAATTCAAATTGCGTGTTTAAATTAAATTATAATATCTTGAATCATAGGGCCTACATATTTTTAGCAACTTGTGAGTAATGTCGAATGTGTCAACAATGACCCGTCTTACATCTAAAGTTATAAGCTTTACCTCAACACGATGACGATACCAATATACCCTACAATTTAATGCTAACTTTCTATATTGACAGAGCTTAACACCCTCTTCATCACAGATACTTAGGATCGGGCCGTTCGGGAAGAATTCTTTCCATCAGGGCGAGGACTGAAAGATATATAAATTCTTTAGTTCCCCAATCTGTACGAAATTACCAGCGTGCTCCCTCTAAAGTCACACATCTTAATGAGAACTAATAAGTCCCCAATTTGGCTAAGAGTAGAGTAAGAGAACTCACTGAATGGTTGTTTGAAATAATTTATTATAAATGTCGTGTGTTCAAATTGTTTTATTTATGTGCTGAAAATGAATAATGCAATCATAAAACATTTTCATTTGTTTGGATCCATAAAAGAATCTTATCTTAATGAAAATATCAAAATATAAACCGAATTATTAAAAGTATGTTTGTTATTGCCTATGTGATGCTATCCCCAGTATGATGTGCAGAGAAAAAAAAAAAAATTGCGCGAACCTAAAATTATAAGAAGATCACATTCATTAATTCATTATAATTTTATAATATTATAGATATGACCTGTCTTCAATATTTCAAATAGCATGAACCGTGAAAATGCAAGGTTCATCGAGATATAGTGTACCTATCTCCGATTTTACTGAAGAAGAATTTGAATTTGACGTCGATAGCGAAGATCGGCAAGAAGAAGCATGGAGAAAACCAGTCGACTCAGACTCAGTTCATTTGAATGAAGTGCTTGTTGCACATTCACATAACCATTTCCGAAAGAAATGTAACATTTAATATTATTAATTATAAATTTATTTCAACCAAACTGCTATTTTCTTATATTATAGAACTTTTATAGACTATAATAATAGACCACACTAGCGTAGGTGATCCGATAGTGCTTGCTAGACCTAGGCCTAATTTTTTTTTCCCCCAGTTCCATAGCCTTGAACCTTGAGTAGCCAGTAATAGTAGTAGTATTTAATTTAATACCGGTAATAATATAGACTATAAAATAGCCTATTTTATAAATCCATTTTATCGCCCATGATACTGTATTGACACTATACTGACTATACTATACTATAGCTATTTTTTTTTGTAGGATGGTCCAGAGCAGAGGCGCAGCGAGGGTGTTTGGCGCCCGGGGACAAGATTCACGCCCGGGGACAAGATCCATTTTAAAGCGCCCCTTTTTCTTTTTTTCAACTCTCAAACCCATTATTTTCATCAATAAAATAATATCAAAGCACATTTTGGCGTCCCTAACTAGCTGGCGCCTGGGGACATCTGTCCCCCCCTCGCTACGCCTCTGGTCCAGAGTAAAGTTCATACTATACTTATAAAATAAATCTAAAGTTTTTATTAGTATAGTATAGCCCAGGCATACCGTAATACTTAATGAAAAACTTGTGCGGGCCGTAATACTTTATGAATGAAAAACTTGTGCGGGCCAAAAGACAATAGGACAGAGGCGAAAGCGAAAATAATAATTTTTAATAATAAAGAATATTTCGTTACTTCGCGGGCCGCCAAGTGGGTGCTAGTATAGTCTATAGTAGACTATAGTTAATAGGCATAGTGGCATAGGCTGATAAATCTCGATTCAATTTCAGTGTACAAATTAATTAAATTATGGTCTGCCTGGGCTTCGTTTGTGATTTAGACTTAGTACAGGTATAAATGGAGATGGCCCTATATTAGAGTTAATTCTAATACCAAAGTAAGGGAGACTTTGTATTTAAAAATGTGAATCTAATTCTCCTGTAATTGCTAAATCATTATTATTGAATTTTGAAAATATTTCTGAAATACAAATACAAGCATTATTGTGCTTGACGTCTTTTGAGTCATTATCAAGTGAAGCATGTGTGCGCTAATAAATGGCAGAGAGAAGCAGCAAAATCTAAATGGTTCTGGACACAGAGTATCAGGAATAATCATTGAGGATGTGTTTACATTTAATTTACTGTAAAAATGGCGACCACTTGTGTTTTTTTTAGCTAATGATATCAAATGTTTGCAATCAATGGCACAAAGTGTGGAAAGACACATGATTTTGTATTTTCCTTTAAATAAGTAGCAAACAATATTTGAAGCTAGTCATTGATGGTTTTCCATCATTTAGAATAGTATGCTCCTCCCCCCCTCCCCCCCCCCCCAAA